TCTTCAAGACAATAAAGAAAATTTCACTAAGGATCAGTATACTGCCATTATGGATATGATACAGCATTCTATGCAATATCAGTCAGTGCAACAACCAAAGGTGGATTCTCCTTCCCATGTCAGTAATCTTGTGCAGACCAAGGCCCACACTGTTGAGACCAATGATAAAACAAGTAACTCAGGAAGTTCAGGTAACAATTTGGTACAATGGATCCTAGATACAAGAGCCACTAACCACATTACTCATTCATTTGCAAATTTAACTTCAGCCAAAAGGATTGAACCAGTAGCTATTACCTTGCCAAATGGTAAACAAGTCTATTCTCATTATTCAGGAACCGTTATGCTTTCACGGATACTTACTTTATCAAATGTTCTTTTTGTTGAGAACTTTAATGTCAATCTGATATCAATGACCAAATTAGCTCAGGACACTAATTGTTGTGTCATTTTTCAGCCTCTCACCTGCACTATTCGACAACACCCTTCAATGGAGATGATTGGTTCAACTAAGCTTGTTGGAGGCTTGTACATCTTTACTCAAGGACCTAACCCGAAGACACCACCAATACAGGCAAATAATTCCACCCATACTATTTCTGTACAACCTTGTCATGTTGATTTGTGGCATTTAAGATTAGGCCATTGTTCTTCATCTGTAATAAAGTCGATGATAACACAATTTCCATTCATTTCCTGTAAAAACATTGATCATCCTTGTGATATATGCCATTATGCTAAACAAAAGAGATTGCCTTTTCCTTTAAGTTCCACTGTCACATATAAAGCTTTTGATTTAGTTCACATTGACATATGGGGTCCATATTCTGTTTCCTCAATTCATGGCCACAAATATATGTTGACTATTGTAGATGATCATACAAGATTTACATGGGGCATCATGATGAAATTAAAATCTTAAACCAGAACACACATCTGTGAGTTTGTCACCTATGTAGAAAACCAGTTTGGAGTAACAATTAAAACCTTTCGAAGTGATAATGGTCCTGAATTTTTGATGACTGATTTCTTTGCACAAAAGGGTATACTGCACCAGACCTCTTGTGTTGAATCTCTACAACAAAATGGTGTTGTGGAGAGAAAGCACCAACATATCTTGAACACAGCCAGAGCCCTCCTTTTCCAAGCAAATCTCCCCAAAAGCTTGTGGTGTTATTGTATTCATCATGCTATCCATATCATAAACAGGTTACATTCTCCAATTTTACAGAACAAATCCCCTTATGAATGGCTTTTCAAGGAACCACCAACTCTTATACACTTAAAGACAAAGATGTCTTTCCTTTGCTTCCACTATCCAAGCTCATCGTACCAAATTTGATGCTAGAGCCCGAAAATGTGTGTATTTGGGACACAAAAATGGCAAAAAAGGTTATATCTTTTTTGATTTAACAACAAAATAAATCTTTATTTCAAGACATGTTGTTTTCTATGAAGACATCTTTCCTTTTCCCAATATTAAAGTAGATGACAACCACCCATCTAAGTCACCTGTCATCCTTCCTACCCATGTGCCTACTGTTTATAAGTCTCCACTACCCAACCCTCAACCTACATATTCTGTCCTTTCACCATCAGTAGAAAAGCACCCTCAACCTACCCAATGTGTCATGTTACCACCTGCTGTAAATCCACCTACTCCCTTCCAAACCGAGGCTGGTTTTGAACCTGCAGAAACCAGAAACCATACACAAATTCCCATACAACATCAGTCCATTAATCTTCGATGGTCCTCAAGAGTAAGGATGCATCCCCACCATCTACATGATTTCTATTGTAATATGTCCACAAGCTTAGCTGAAGACAAGTCATCTCCAGGTAAACCTGTATCTCCATCTTCCATTGTTTCCTATACACATTGTTCTCCTTCTTATACATCATTCTGTCACAATTTAAGCTCTTTTGTTGAGCCACGTACTTACAGCCAAGTAGTCAAGTCCAGAGAATGGACTTTAGCAATGCATGAAGAACTTGATGCACTCAACCGTAACAAGACTTGGTCCATTGTTCCTTTTCCAAAAGGCAAGCATCCCATTGGTTCCAAATGGGTCTATAAAGTCAAGCACAACCCTGATGGCACAGTTGCTAGACATAAAGCTCGCCTGGTTGCCAAGGGCTACAACCAAATGGAAGGAGTTGATTACTTTGAAACTTTTTCTCCAGTGGCTAAACTCACCACAGTCAGATTGTTGCTCTCTGTTGCAGTTGCTAAGGGTTGGTTCCTTGAACAAATTGATATTAATAATGCATTTCTTCATGGGGATTTATCCGAGGAAGTTTACATGATTATTCCTCAAGGTGTCCCTTCTACTGATGCTAACCATGTTTGCAAGATGCATAAGTCCATTTATGGCCTAAAACAGTCTAGCCGTCAGTGGAATGCTAGATTGACTCAGGAACTTCATCAACTTGGGTTTAATCAATCGCATGCTGACCACTCTTTGTTTACAAGGATAGATGGAGATTCTGTCACATGCCTCCTAGTCTATGTTGATGATATGATACTGGCTGGAAACAATATGGCTCACATCAAATCTGTCAAACAACATTTGGATGGTTTATTCCACATTAAGGATCTTGGTCCTTTAAATTTCTTTCTTGGCATGGAGATTGCTAGATCCAAAGATGGTCTAATTCTGAATCAACGAAAGTATGTCCTAGAACTCCTATCTGAGAGTGGTTTACTCAATGCTAAGGCTGCCTCATCACCTATGGAGCCTTCTTTATGTTTGAAACAGGATCAAGGAGAATTGTTTCATGATCCTGCCACCTATAGGAGACTGGTTGGTCGTTTATTATACCTAACAAACACCAAACCAGATATCTCATTTGTTGTACAACAACTGACTCAGTTTGTGGCCAAGCCAATGAAGGACCACTACACTGCTGCCATTCGGGTGTTAAGATATCTTAAGGCCTCTCTAGCCAAAGGTCTGATATTTTCTTCTAAAAGTTCATTAGTTTTATCTGGTTTTGCTGATGCTGATTGGGCCACTTGCCCTGACACCCGAAAGTCCACTACTGGCTTCTGTGTATTCTTTGGAGATTCTATTGTCTCATGGGAATCAAAGAAACAAAGTACTGTCTCACGTTCTTCTGCCGAGGCCGAATATCATGCATTGGCAGCAGTGACTTGTGAAGTCCAATGGCTGACTTACTTGCTCCATGATCTCCAAATCCCTACCACTCAGCCAGCTAACATTTACTGTGATAATCAAGCTGCCATATACCTAGCTCATAACCCTTCTTTTCATGAACGCAGCAAACATATTGAATTGGATCGTCATGTTACAAGAGAGAAGCTTACAACTAGTTTACTTCGGTTATTGCCTGTTTCTACTACTCAGCAACTTGCTGATGTTTTCACAAAGGCATTGACCCCTGCTTTGTTTCACAACTTCATTTTCAAGTTGGGGCTGTATGATCTCCACACACCAACTTGAGGGGGGGGGGGGGGGGGGGGGGTTATACCTATTTATTTCAAATAGGGTTATTTTTTTCATTAGTTGGTTAACCATGTAATTTTATTAGTTATTTTTCTCTTAACCAATAGCTGGCAAAGTTAGTTAGGATTAGTTTTAGTTCTATTCGGTTCTTTATGGCTTATATAGATAAGCAAGTGTACTAAGACCTTTTAACGTTTTCATAATTCCATTCTTCAGAAAACCTAAAAATGCATTTCCTCTTCCATTCTGTTACTCTTCATTATCACCTTCCTGGTTTTTGCACTCAACTTCTCAACCTCCATATAAGCTGGGATTTCAGGTTCCGTTTCTTGCTCAACTCCAAATTCTTCTGTTGGGTTTGCTCCGCAAATTGGTGGCTGTTTTGTTGAGTTGACAATCTCCAAACTTAACTCTTTCCATTAGACTTTTGCAAAGCATTGCAATATGTAACAAACTAACAGCTGCTATAGCAGTTCAGTCCAGGATTGAGTATTGAATTCAGCAATTAATTGTAGATCCTTCTTCCAAATTGCTTACAATGTTCACACCCGGTAACGCATCAAATAAAATTTAGTTAGTACAAATGACATGGCTCGTTTATCTGTATCACCACTAAAAATATTTTATAAAGTATAGCACATTTTCATCCCTTAAAAGATAGGAATGTAATTTTTCAAAATAATAAGGGAAATAATTTAATTTGAATAATTTAGAATAAAAAAAAGAAATGTAATAAAAAAAATTGGAGAAATTTAGGCGTAGGGAAGTTTGTTGACTGTAAAATACGTGGTCAGAAATAATATATTGATTATGTATGAGGTGTGTGAAAACAAAAGAAAATATGGTTAATTTAAGGAGTGAATCTTAGTTTTAATTTAGGATTTATGATTTAGACTTATCTTTTTTAAACTAATTTAAATAAATAATATTTATTATCTTATTATTTTGTATTTTATTATTATTATTTTCTATATGTAAGTATAAGTATACGTGTAAAAATAATATCCAATTAAAAAGTTGAGTAATCTTTATTTTTAACTTTCAAATATATAAGTTCAGTCTCATAGTGTCATTATTCTGGATAGTTCCCTCCATTTTGGGTAGATGATTCCCTCCGTTATAATTTGTATAATTTTGTGTACATAGCTTGTTAGAACAAACAAGTCATACATTTTATCACACTATTACTTGATAGTACTTTATTATTTTAGTCTATTTTTTATTTTTATTGTTTTAAAGAATGAAACATGTCAATCTTAATTTAGTTTTTTTTTTAATTTAAATTATTTTAAGTTTTTTTTTAGTAATCAAATTATTTTAAGTTAACTATGCATATCTTTTAATTTCAAATATGTTTAATATTTTTAAATTGATTATGTATAATTTTAAAAATATTTTAATATTTTATTTTTTAATATTTTAGCTTAATTTAAAAATAACTGCTTGTACATTTTCTGTTAAAGCCAAAGATAAAAAGATGGTATGCCAAGTTAGATCTCATCATTTCTGTATTTTGCGATTTTGCTTTGTCGTTTAACGTTGACTTCACTTCCTTTGATGGAGTCCATGTCTTCTTCATCCTTCAATGGTCGATGGATCTACGACGTGTTCTTGAGTTTCAGAGGGAAAGACACGCGTAACAGCTTCGTTTCTCATCTCCACGCTTCCCTCTCAAATGCTGGAATCAACACTTTCCTTGACGATGAGAAGCTTGAGAAGGGAACGGAGTTAGGACCAGAACTACTGCGAGCAATAGAAAGGTCTCAAATCTCTATCGTTGTTTTCTCCGAAACCTACACTGAATCTAGTTGGTGTCTTAATGAGCTCGTAAAAATAATGGAATGCCACAGAACTTATGGCCAGGTTGTTCTGCCCGTGTTTTACGGTGTTGAACCAACGCAAATACGTTATCAAATGGGTGCTTTGGGAGAAGCTATGGAAAAACTTGCAAGAAAAAAGTACTCTGGGAAAAACATGACAAATGTGTGGTCCAGGTGGAGGACTACACTCACCGAAGCTGCAAATTTGTCTGGTTGGGAAGTCACCACTAGCAGGTAAATCGATACTTTATAGTTATTTGCTTCTTCTATTTGAGAATAAATATTTTTATTTGTGGAGAATTTTCCACCCGTTCATCTATTAATCGATCCGGGGGTAGAGGGAGCAAAACTCGCTCTACCAAATTTTTTTTTGGTGTGAGTTATTCAAGTGTAATGAGTCTCGTATTGTTGGTAATGAGCTAAGTAAAGTGCATATAAGTTGATAGACTTATGAATTCTGTGCCTTAAGATTTTGGGTTGAGACATGATGCCGAATCCATTGGCCAGTGTTGTGCTAGCTTATCCTTTTGGTGGTGTCCCACTTGGGGTTTCACACACTTAGGGCCGACCCATGGTTTTGGGTTGAGACATGGTGTCAAATCTACTTGCTACGATTGGTATAATTTCACCCATTGATTGCGGTCCCCTGCCATGGGCTCTCCCGATTAAGCTAAAACAACCCGTGCTAGTTGATCCACATGCATGGTGGTTAATAAAGCATATCCTGAGCTTATAAGTTATAGCCTTTCCTAATTTATGCTCATTCTGACTGTTTTACAATTATTGAAGCAATCAAGCTAAAGTAGCAAAGCTTATTCTTGAAGAGGTTTTAACAAAACTAGACAACACATTACTGTCTATTACGGAATTTCCAGTTGGATTAGAAACCCGTGTGGGAGAAGTGATTGGGTTACTTGAAAATCAATCAAGCAAAGTTTGTATGCTAGGGATATGGGGAATGGGTGGATCGGGTAAAACCACCACAGCCAAAGCCATTTACAATCAAATTCATCGCAAATTTGAGGGTACAAGTTTCATCGAAAATATTAGAGAAGTTTGCGAAAAAGATAGTAGAGGGTATATTGATTTACAAGAACAACTTATTTCAGATGTTCTGAAAACAAAAGTGAAGATACATAGTATTGCTATGGGGACAACTGTGATCGAGAGAAGACTTTGTGGAAAAAGGGCACTCATTGTACTTGATGATGTGAATGAGTTTGAGCAATTAAAAGCCCTATGTGGAAATCGTAAATGGATTGGTTCAGGTAGTGTGTTAATTGTTACAACCAGAGATGTGCGCCTACTTAATGTGCTTAAAGTTGACCATGTTCATAGAACAAAGGAAATGGACGAAAATGAGTCCCTTGAGCTTTTTAGTTGGCATGCTTTTAGAGAAGCAAGTCCAAGAGAAGACTTGATTGAACTCTCAAGAAACATAGTTGCATACTGTGGGGGTTTACCACTAGCACTTGAAGTCCTTGGATCTTATTTATATGAGAGGACAGAACAAGAATGGAGAAGTGTATTGTCAAAACTGGAGATAATTCCCAATGATCAAGTACAAGAGAAACTGAGAATAAGCTTTGATGGTCTAAGGGATGATATGGAAAAGGATATATTTCTTGACATATGTTGTTTCTTTATTGGTAAGGATAGAGACTATGTTACAGATATACTAAATGGTTGTGGGCTTCATGCTGATATTGGATTAACAGTCCTCATAGAGCGGAGCCTCATAAAAGTTGAAAAGAATAACAAGCTTGGAATACATGCTTTGCTACGTGACATGGGAAGAGAAATTGTTCGTGAAAGTTCAGCTAAAAATCCTGAGAAGCGTAGTCGACTGTGGTTTCAAGAGGATGTGCTTGATGTTTTGACAAAAAATACTGTAAGAACTTTCTCTATATACATTTTGAATTTTTTTTTTTATCATCGTCCATAATCTTATCATGATCATAAAACTCTGTTAGTTTGTGAGATTTTTTGCTCTTCATAACTACTGGCTGAAAATTGTGGCATTCATAATCTGAGTGTTTGCCTTGTCATTTGCATTAAAAGCGTGCCTAGGCTACATTGCTGTAGCTTTATGTATCACTTCAAAGCGAGCAAAAGAAAAAAAAGTTTACACTTATTTTTCTCTGCTTTTTTCTTTGCATGCAGGGAACAGAAACTGTTGAGGGATTGGCTTTGAAGATGCAAAGAACCGACAGGGTTTGCTTTAGTAGTAATGCTTTCAAGGAAATGAAGAGAATGCGACTTTTACAATTTGATCATGTTGAACTCAACGGGGATTATGGATATCTTTCCGAACAACTGAGATGGGTCAATTGGCAACGATTTCCCTTGGAATATATTCCTGATAACTTTTATCTGGGAAATCTAGTTGCCATTGAATTAAAACACAGTAATATTAAAAAAATTTGGAAGGAACCCAAGGTATAATTATTAACATTTTCTTTTAAAACTAAGGTTCATGACAATATTTCATTTTGTTTTCTAATTTTTCTTTTAAACATTTTTCTCTTTACAGTTGCTGGGGAGGCTAAAAATCCTCAATCTCAGTCATTCCAGGTTCTTGACAAATACCCCTGACTTTTCAAAACTACCGAATCTAGAAAAGCTCATTCTCAAGGATTGTCCAAGTTTGATTGAGGTACACCAGTCCATTGGAGATCTAAGTAAACTTCTTCTGATCAATTTGAAGAACTGTACAAGCCTTACCAATCTCCCAAGGAGGATCTATGAGTTGAAATCTGTGAAAACTCTCATACTTTCTGGTTGTTCAAAGATTGACAAGTTAGAAGAAGATATAGTGCATATGGAATCCTTGACAACTCTAATTGCAAACAACACTGCTGTAAAACAGGTGCCCTTTTCGATTGTTAGATCCAAAAGTATTGGATATATATCCCTGTGTGGATATGAAGGATTAGTGCGTGATGTATTTCCTTCTCTCATATGGTCTTGGATGTCACCGACAATGAATCCCCTATCCCGTATTCCACCATTTGGGGGCATGTCATCATCTCTAGTTTCCATTGATGTACAGGATAATAATTTTGGTAATCTATCACCAATGCTTGGGAACCTTCCAAAACTTCGAAGTGTTTGGGTGCAATGCAGCTCGGAGTGTCAATTAACTCAAGAATTAAGAAGAATCCTAGATGACCTATATGATGTATATTTTGCTCAATTGGGAGCATCATCATATGCATCACAAAATTCAGATCTTTCATTGAGATCACTTTTAATTGGAATGGGAAGTTACCATATGGTCATCGATATTCTAGGCAAGAGCATATCACAGGTTACTTCTCTATCTTCATACCTTTACTGATCTTTATCATTAAGAGAACATGAAAGACTTTTCCATTTGCATTTGTTGTCTTATAAGCTAAAAGTTTCCGAAAGATTCGAATTATTCAAGTATATATCAGATAAACTAACATATATGATAGGGTCAGGCATGTATTGTAGAAGTGCAACAAAGTTTTGTTGATAATTATATCCCATTTCATTTTTCTGCATTCCATTTTATTTCCTCGTCCTTATCTCCGTTCATTTGCTTGTTTAATATATATATTTGTTATACTTGTTTTCTCTTTTCATTATTTTTACTTTTGAAGACTCGTGTTTTTTTTTTTTTTTTTTTTAATATTTGTAGTATATATAAACAATCACATAAGAACTAGGTAGCTAGATAGATTCTTTACAAATTACAACTACTGAAATTTTAAAACCACCAAATATGTTGCTCCTTTCTTCTCCATATTAGTAGGAATCCAGAATCATAAACTAAATGTTACTGTAAAGAAAGTCACATTAGTTGCACATACAACCAATGTGGGACTATATATCTCAACACGCCCCCTTACACAAGAGCCCATTGGGCTTGAAGAGTGGACAATGCAACAGGCTCAGTTTACCTGTGCTAAGAAACGCCACAAGAGAAAGTGGGGGGCGGCGAGGCTCTGATACCATGTAAAGAACCTTGGGATACACTACCCCAAAAGCTAGCTCAAAGGGTGGGAGTGTCCAAGGCCTTATAAAGGCCACATTAGTTGCACATACAACCAATGTGGGACTATATATCTCAACAGTTACTATAGTATTTTCCTTTATAGAAAAAACATAGCATCAAGAAGTTACTGCAATACACTTGCCTCGTAGCTCTTTTATATTCAGGAAGAATAGATTTTACTTGCTAGAATTGGCTATGAGCAAAAAGCAAACATATATTTTACCTAATTGACAACGGTGGCATTCCCACTGTTTTGGAGAGAGAGCAGCTATAAAGAAGAAAATGATGGGATTTTCTTAGTGTTAATGTTAGGCTTAATACAGTATCACACTCTCTTCAAAGAGGAAAATAAAATTAGCAAGTAATATGTCGGTAGAGCCAGTTAATAAAAAATCACTAAGATCATATAATGGTGGGAGGACCTGTAGACAAACATGTACCTAGGGGGGAGAGAAAGGGAATCTGTTGTGTAAAGAATGAAAGCTTAATTCTCATGCTTTTGTGTAAAGAGGGAGTCTTATGTGTAAGAAAGCACAAGGTTATCTTAATTCTCAAGCTTGTGACTTGGGCTAGGAGTCTCCCCCATAGCCGGGAGCTTCTGCTGTTTCCTTTTATACCCTTATGCTCTCTTATATATATTGTAGCCACACCCTATTGGGAGATATGAATGAAATACAGTTTCACAACAAATATAGAACCTATTAGTAGCAAGACATGTAGCAAAAATCTTTTTGTTAGGATGGGTAAAATCATATTAGTATTGAATGAATCAATTACAACTCAGTCAGTGATATTTATATCAACTTTTGTACAGTGATGAAGAGTAAAAAGAAAAGGCAAGAATGAGAAAACAGAAATAACTAACTAATAACATAAAAGATGAAAGGTTGGCCACGTGTCCATAGTTGGTAAAATACTCGTGTGATAATATCCCCCTTCTAGTTGGGAGATGTATGTCTTTCATCCCTAACTTGGATAAAAGACCAAGAAATTGAAATGGATGCAGAGCTTTAGTCATAGTATCAGCAATTTGAGCAGAAGAATGTATGGGGAAAGAAATGAACAAGGCCTGAAGTGATGCATTCACAAATCACATGGCAATTAATATCTGTGTTTACTCCTTTCCTGGAAAGTGGGATTGTGTGCAAGATGAATAGAGGATTGGTTATCACAAAAAATAGAAATGGGCTTGGCAAAAGGAAGGTAAGGTCCTTGAGGAGAAAAGAAGTCCATTTAAGTTCACAGAGAGGCTAACTAAAGTCGTGTATTTTGCTTCTGAAGAAGAATGACTCACTATGGTATGTTTCTTGGATTTCCAGGAGACAATAGCTAATCCTAGAAATACACAAAGCCCTGAGATAGAATGCCTTCCGTCAATACAGCAGGTCAAATATAGGGACTGGATTTATTATAAGAGCTAATCCTTTTCTCATTTATAGGGACTAGAGCATTTATTATAAGATAAAATAGAAGAGAGGGGATATGGAGTATTCATACCTGGAGAAGAAGATTGGATGTCAAAAAAAGCTGTTGATAGAGAACAGTGATATTCTGTCAAATATTTAGGTTGAGATTTGATTCTTGTGGATCTTTGAAGAGAAGCATTAGTGGAATCTTGTCGAGCATGAGATTGTGGGTTAGTATTATCATGTGGTTGAGGGGAAGTGGTTGGTAGGTAAAGTATCAGATTGTTCTTGAGGGTCTTGGGGTACTGAGCTCATAGGTTGGTTATGGTTTGGTGTTAATAGTCTGGGAAGGAATGAGAAAAGGATCATCAAGTGGATCACTGATGCTAGTCGTCTAAGAAGCACCGAAACTCCTTAAATTTTTATACTTTCTGTTATATTGGGTTCTTTAGTACTAGTAAAGGATTTAAAAGGGAATTGATTTTCATATGACATTTCTTAATACAAATGTGGTGTGTTACAGCATAGCACCAAAGTTTGCTGGCAAATTGGCTTTGAAGTAAAGGGCTTGAGCTATATTGAGGATATGTTGTTGCTTCCTTTCATCTACCCCATTTTGTTGGGGACATTCCACACATAATTGTTGATGCACAATTTCTTTGCTGAGGAAGGAATCACTCATGGAAAACTCAACTCCATTGTCACGTCTAATAACTTTTGCCACTGTTTTGAATTGAGTTGGAACAAAAGCAATGGAATTCTTGATGTTTGTAGGTATCGGACTTATGTTTCCTTAAGACAATCCAAGTGAAATGACTGAAATCATCCGCTATGGTAAGAAAATAGTGATGATTATGTATTGAGGGAATTGAGTAGGGTCTCCATATGTCAACATGAATCAAATCAAATGGTTTATTTCTTTTGATAGAACCGAAAACATAAGGCAATTTTCTTAGTTTCTCAAAATGTCAAGTATCACAAGGGGTCACATTTTTATAAGAAATGAAAGGGAATTGTGAATACATGATTCTAAGTACAGAATTTGATGGATGCCCAAGCCTTAGGTGCACTAGATCCCCTTGACCAGAATCTGAGTTGTTGCAGGAGCTTGAATTGACAAAATACCTTTGCTCTCCATCAGGTAAGTAGATGAATTGACAAAATACCTTTGCTCTCCGCTCTAAATCCGTTAGTTCTTGGTATTATTCCTTAGTAAAGGTTGTTCCTGATAAAAGCCCAGAAGAATCATCCCCTTCTTCTTGTGAATCTTGGATGGTCAGGTTGGCCATATGTCCCTTTGACCTATATCCACAAGGGAAACAACATTTGTGGTAGCAGCTCTCAATGATATAATTAGTTTTCTTACAATGTGTACCACACTTGGTTACATTGCCATAACCTCTTGCAAAACTGGTTCGACTACGCCCTCTACTTGCAAAATCATTTCTTAGCCCGCTTTATTCAATTGCATTAGCAAATCCTTATGTCTTCAGGGTGATTATTTACACCAGCATCAAGATTTAACCTTTTCTCCTGTTGAATTACCATAGAAAATGCTTTATTTACACCTAGTAAAGGTTCAATGCACATTACCTGCGATCTGACATGCGAAATTGAACATCGAGGCCCTTCAATAACTTGATTACACGACTCCTCTCTCATTGACTTCACTCGGTAAAAACATCCAAAATGTGAGATGGAATTGCTCAAGACAGTCCATTTCATCCCATAAGCTTTTCAGTTGGGTGATGTAATTAGCGACCGATAAGTCTCCTTGCTGCAACTTGAGATATCATCTTCAAGATCCAAAATGCGGAAAACATCCGATTGAGAACATCTTTCCTTTAGGTCGTTCTAGGCATTAATAACTTTGTCAGTCCACACCGATTGCGCTATTGATTCTGAGTTAGATATATGAATCCAAGAAAGAATCATGGTGATGCACCTATCCTATGCAATGATCATTGGATCATCAGGATCTGGAATATTGATCCTCCCATCAACAAAAGCTAGTTAATTTTTGGAATGCAGGGCCATTTTCATGGCTTTAAACTATGGTAATTTTTTCCATTCAAAAGAGGGAAAAACAAGAACCAAAGATGGATTCTCATTGGGATGAAGATAAAACTGATTTGTTGGACTCGTTAGAAATTCAGGAAAAGGAACAAGATTTTGGTTCACCATTGTTACAGGGAATGTGATCTTCAATGGAAGGGAAAAAATTACTTTGGAAGAAGAAAGAAAGCTTCTGATTGATAATCAAAGCTATGTGTAGAGCTCTGATACCATCTTATTAAAGTTGGGTAAAGTCATATTAATATTGAATGAATCAATTACAATTGAGTCACTGATATTTATATCAGCTGCACTGGTGAAGAATAAAAAGATAAGACAGTAAGACCGAAATCAGCCTGAGACTGCAATAGATGAATGACAAGTGAACCGGGATGACCAAGGCAAGCAAGCCAAATGTCCAAAGATGCACATATAGATAACAATGCAAATGGCAGCCTGGCAGGACCAGAAGGAAAGAAAAGACACAATACAAAGCATGATATTCAGCAAAAATGGAGGACCGTCCCCGTTTTGGAGTCCTTGATGACAAAACCCTCCCATGAGATTCAATGATGTAATTATTATCTTGAACAAACTGAGGGAAAGAGATGATCAAACTTTTTTATAAGTAGGGATCCTAAAGAACATATGGAAGGTGAAAATAAGTGTAAGGACTGTCTAATAGTATGTGAACCAACATAAGTAAATATTCATTGCCCCATTATAAGTTGAAAGACTTGTATGACACATCAGTTCTGCGACTTTTTCTTTATTATTGAAGCAGAAAATGTCATGAATTTCTGCAATTCATATGTGTTACAAAACTATTGACACAATTTGTTTCAGTTAGTTTTCTTGGCTATATTTTTCTTTACGCAGTACACTGTTATTATCTTGAACATTCACCTTATGGAATTCAGAATGATACTATAGTGGGGCGAAAAGTCCATTTGAAAAGCATAAATACATATATAACTAAGGTTTTGTTTCATGATACAGGAATTGACAACCAATCGTTCTAATGATGTTTTCCTTCCGGGTGACAATTGTCCTTCTTGGTTGGCCTATACATGTGCAGGACATTCTGTGGTTTTCCAAGTGCCTGAAGATGGTGATTGTCGCATGAAGGGAATGATTTTATGTGTGGTTTATTCATCAAAACCTGAAAACATGGCAGCCGAATGTCTTATTAGTGTTTTGATCATTAATTACACGAAGTGCACTATTCTGATACACAAGAGAGACACAGCTATGTCCTTTAATGATGAAGATTGGCAGGGTGTGATATCAAATCTAGAACCTGGTGACACTGTTGAGATTTTTGTAGCATTTGGGCATGGATTGACTGCTAAGAAGACTGCTGTCTACGTAATATATGGCCAGTCAATTACTGTGGAAGTTGAGCCTTCAATTAATGTGGAAATGGAGCCACCACCTGAATTGAACGCACAATTATCACCTAGTGTCGAAATGGAGCCAGCATCTGAATTGAACTCAAAGCCATCACCTAGTGTGGAAATGGAGCCAGCATCTGAATTGAACTCACAGCCATCACATAGTATGGAAATGGAGCCAGCATCTGAATTTAACTCACAGCTATCATATAGTGTGGAAATGGAGCCATCACCTGAGATGAAAACGGATCCATCACCTGAATTGAACTCACAGCCACCATATAGTGTGGAAATGGAACTATCACCTGAGATGAAAACGGAGCCATCACCAAAGCCAAACAAAAGTATCTTTGCAAGACTTACAAAGAGAATGGGAGAATGTTTATGCTTGAACCAGAATTGAGGTTTCAACAATTTTTTATTGAGCATGTCAATGTCATTGTAAAGAACCTTGGGATACACCACTCCAAAAGCTAGCTTAAAAGTGTAGGAGTGCCCAAGGCCTTATAAGCTCCACATTAGTTGCTCATACAACCAATGTGGGACTATATTTCTCAACATGTCCCCTCACACGAGAGCCTACTGAACTTAAAGGGTGGACAACATACAAGCCCACTTATATGTGAAAATTCTACTACAAAGAAAGTGGGAGGCGGTGAGATTTCGAACGCTCTGATACCATGTTAAGAACTTTGAGGTCACCACCCCAAAAGCTAACTCAAAGGGTGGGAGTGCTCAAGGCCTTATAAACCTCACATTAGTTGCCCAAGGCCCCATAAAGGCATAATATAGGATTCCCTCATTTCCTGATTTTGCAATGTTTATTTGAGGTTATGAGAATGTTGTTAAAGTTAATTTCTCATTACATTATAGAGCTCATGATTGCTTGGCAAGACAAGGTATGATGTATTGACGCTATACAACCGTAGCACTATTGGCTTCCCCATAAGCATGCGAAAGGAGAGTGCACCGTTGCGAGCTGAGCATTTCTCTAAGACCATATGGACACGGGATGATGGTTGGAGCAGCAAAAGTTGTTAAAAGAGGCCAACCCATCCCACCTCAGCCTCTAACCTACAAAAAAATGAGGCGGGTGGGTTAATCCCCCATTGATGAATGGGTTGATAGGTTGAAAATTCAAATCTATTCCGTTTTAAGATGGGTTGTCATATCCTGTCTAAACAAATAAAATAAAAAAATTTATCTTTTCCTAATGTGTTATTTAATATTAAAAAATAAAGAAGTTATATTTCAATCACTACGTTATTTGATGACTTGTTGGATTAAATGAGAAGCTTGTTTCAGTGGGTAAATTTGTACAAATATTATTATTACAAAATTATTTTAATGATAGTATTTTTCATGAAAATGCTTGTCTTTTTGTTCTGTTTTGTTCAGTTCAACCTTAAGTTGTAATGACAGTGAACTGATCATTGGAGACAGCCATACATGTTATAATCTTATAACAAAACTAGGAGATATTCAAATATATAATCAATTGTATCATATATAATACGGAAAATTTCATTTTTAGCAACTGTAGTTTTATGATTTATCATTTGACTATGTAGTTTTAAACTTCTCACTTATACCCATTGTGGTTAAATAACTTATCATTTAACTACTTGTGGTTTCAGATTTTTACTTACACTCATTATAATTACAAAATATATCACTTAGACCCCATGTGATCTTATATATACACAATTTTATTTTATTTTTCTCAACTTTTATCTTATATTATTATCATATCTTAAAAATTAAAATTATGTGCTGAAAAATGTAAATAATTTATTCAAATTTAAATTGATTTAAATTAATAATAATCTCAATTATATCTTATATTTTTATACATATACAATTTTTTATTTTCTCTCTCTTTATTTTATATCCTCATCTAATGCAAACAAATAAATAAATATAAATTTCTAAAAAAAATATTTAAATTCAAAACAAATATTATTTTATCTTATCTATTTTTTACCCGATATCATTATAAAATTATCTAAAGAAAGTAAATATCTTATTTTGATAATGCATACTTAATTTATCTTAAATAATATTTTAAAAATTTTTAAATATATTTTTAAAATAAAAAATTAAGATAATTTATAAATTAATTTTCAAAATAAATAACTTGAAATATTTTTAAATTTAATATTTAATTATTAATTATAATAAATTAATAATTATATTTTATAATATCTTAATTGATAAGATATAATTTTTTTATTTTAGTACTCCTCTAGAAAAATAAAGAAAAACACTTTATTTATGACAAAGATTATCCATATATAGAGATAAAAATAAATTCTTAAAAAATATCTGACTGAATATAAGCTTATATTTACGCTTGAGATTGAAAAAAAACTAAAGGAAGTGTGAAATAAAAATAAGTAATATTATAAAATTAATAAAATATAATTTATTATTATTTTTTAATTATTTTTTATTTTTTAGGCGGGTTGACCCGCCAACCTACCTCAAAACGGGCTGGGTTGATGTTTCAAACCCACCATCAAACGGCGGGTCAACCCGTCCCACCCCGCTTTTTGCGGGTTGAAGGCGGATCGGGGTGGGTTGGCTCGTTTTGCCACCTCTATCTCTAACTATAAATCAAATCAAAATTTTCTGCATAGTGCATAACTGAGATAATGTTAGTATCGTAGGTATATAACTTATGTAAGTCAGTAAACAACAAATCACTCAAATATGTCAATTATGAATTTTTTTTGGAATTGTTTTTTAAATATACTGGGCTGGGTCACCGGTTAATCAATCGGATCACCAGTTTTAACCAAAATCGGTCGGGTTTAACCGGGTCGCATCGCGTTTGAAACTTGGCTGATCCAATGTGTTAACTGGACACAAATTTTTCCCAACACGAACACGACACTTTTTGCGGGTTAACACGACACGACACGAAAAACACACAAAATAGGGGACAAAACGGTAATTGACAAAAAATTTTAAAAAAATGGGTTAAGGTGCTGCGAGCTAAATATGGTAGCATGAAGAACAATCTTTAATTTTAAAAAAATCTTTTACACGCACTTACTCAGTATAAATATTTTTTTATGGACCCTGACAAGTTATGGGTTAAGGTGCTGCGAGCTAAATATGGTAGCATTACCAATAATCATACTGAGTTCATTTGGATGATTGGGAACTCTAATTTGTTGAAAGTAATGTGTAATGTTTGGCATAAGCTGAAACCGAGATTGGTTTGGGAAATGGGGGATGGTCTTTCTATCAATTTTTGGGAAGATAAGTGGATGGACCATGAAAGTAATTTAGCAAGTAAGGCACTTTTGCTGATCCCACAGGCGGAAAGTGGTAGAAAGGTGAGGGAGTTTGTGACAGAGGGTGGGATGTGGAACTGTGAGGCTATGGCCAATTATCTCCCAGCTACTGTCATTCAAACAATACGTAGTATTTTGCCTCCTCAATGGGGGAATGGGACTGACTGTCTTAGGTGGCATATCAAGGGGGATAGTAATTTTTCTGTTAAGCACTTATATAGTGCGTTACTCAATCAGGATGGGGCTGATGACAGGGAGAGTGATTGCTGGTCGGCTATATGGAATTTAAAGGTTCCTCACATAATTAGTGTTCTGTTGTGGAAAATGGCTCATCATAGACTACCCACAAGAAGCATGCTTGCAAGATTGGATATGTCTTTGCCCATATGCCCTTTGTGTCAATTGGAAGATGAATCTATAATATGGCTCGAGATTGTATCAAAATCAAGAGGGTCTGGATGGAATTAATTGAACCCGATTTCTCTAATGATTTTTTTAATGCAGATTTGGGTACTTGGCTGTTGCAGAATTTGACGAACGATGCTGTCATGCGGTTTAACGCTAAATGGTCTACTGTGTTTGCAATCACTGTTGAAAGTGCCTGGCGGTGGAGAAATGACGTGGTGCATGGTCAAGATGATAGTTGGTTGGCATTTACAAGCCAATCGATTGAAAAAAGAGTTCATGAAGTTTCTAATGCTTGGGTGCAGTATATTGATGGCAGTATTCATAGGAGACCGATTGTCATTCCTGTTATTTGGCATCCTCCAGAGACTGGCTGGATTAAAATTAATATTGATGGGGCAGCCAATTTTGATGGTGGTGGTGCAGCGTGTGGAGGTTTTTTAAGAGATGAGACCGGTTCCTAGATTCAAGGGTTTGCCTATCATATAGGTAATTGTTCTGCCTTTGTAGCTGAGTTGTCGGGTGTTCTTAAAGGCCTTGAATTGGCTTGGAATGGAGGCTGGAGAAGGTGTGTGCTAGAAAGTGATGCTAAATCAGTGATCACTTTGCTCTCCACGAGTGGAGGAGCAGCTCGAGAGTCTCGTCTAGTGACTCACATTCGAGCTTGGTTACATAGAGATTGGGATGTACAGTTGGTGCATGTCTTTAGAGAAGGTAATGGCTTTCTAAATATCCTTTGGAGCACCCATTGAAGGATAATTTTAGCATGTTTCATTCCCCCCTAGCTGGGATTTTGCTGTTGTATTTGGCTGATTTTTCTTCTATTTGTAATTCCCGTAGGATCTTTGTGAACTGAGTTTCTCTTTGGGGTTTTATTCCTCTCCTCTTCTACCAAAAAAAAAAAAGCAGTAAAGTTTTAGTTTACAAAAAAAAAAACAGTAAAGTTTTATATTAATTATTTAATTATATATTATATCGAGTAATTTTTATTTTTATTTTGGTACATATCGAGCAAATTTTTTTACTAATCGGTAAGTGCGTGTTTATTTATTTTGGGTAATTTGATTGTTTCAACTTGTCAATAACCTTTTTATTAAAAAAAAATCATTTATTAAAATAAAAATTACCAAACACGCACTAAGAATAATCTTCATCTTATCCTTAGTCGTTTGGCTAAATTGGCCTGTGTGACGGCAACTTGGTAACTGGGATAAGGCAAGTTTAAGCACTCAATTTTATCGGGGTCAATTTAGAAAATATACAAATATTTTGTTTTAATTTATGATTTAGGGAGAGATTATACTTGCTACCTCTTTTTTTATTATCAAATCTTAATCGTTGATTTTCGTCAATCTAACGATTGTAATTTATTGGGTCATACTTATTAATTAATTATTAATTTTCAATAAATTATAACTTTAGATTGACGAAAGTCAACAGTTAAAATTTATTAGTAAGAGATAATAAGAAAAAGAAGTAGTAAGTATAACCTCCCCGTTTATGGTTATATATACAAAAAATATTTAACCCCACAAGAAAAATATTATTTTAGTTTTATTTATTTTGACTCATCTGATATTTTGCCCTGACTCATAAGAAAAAAATTAAATCAAAATTAATCTCTTTGTTAATAAAAAATGGAATAAGCTATTTTCCTTACATTTTTTTCATACCTATCTTATCAACTACTACTCAACACCAAGGTAGACAAGAAAAATATATATAGAATAACATATCACATAAAAAATAATACAATACCAATAAAATTATATTTTATTTAATTATTAAAATAATTATTCATATAACTTATAGGGCAACGTAAATCTTTAAAATTTTTATTACTTGATAATTAACTTACAAAAGTTTATTTATAACACGAAAAATAAAACAACTTATGCTCTTTTATAATCCAGACATAAAACAATAAATAACACAAATAATATTATTATAAATTTGTCAACCAAAAAAATATATTATTATAAATTTTACATTATAGTAATTATAAATAAGATTAATATTTATTATGTTATATAGGATAATTTTATCTTTTATACATGTATCCCATATAAAACCGCTTTATAAATATGGCAAAATCCCATAAATGAATCTACAAATAACAAAAAAATTTCCTATCAGACCTCACATAATTCACGAACATCATTTCTATAATTTTAAAGGGAAAAGTATATCTCCAGTAATCGGAGATAAAATTATCTTCAGTGAACTCAACACGACGTCATTTTGGATTATAAGATTAAAAAATTATATAGATAAAAATATATAATCCTGCAATATATTATAATTATAAAAACACTTTGATTTTATTTACCAAAAAAAAAAAAACACTTTGATTTCTGTCCCAAAATGACGTCATTTTGAGCCTGAAAATAATTTGATCTCCGGTGAAATAGAGAAATCCTTTACCCAATTTTAAATTATAGAATTACCAAAAAATAAAAAAAAAGTACACATATATTGAGGAAATACAAATAAACTTAATTTCTGAAGCAGTCTTTCTATAGCTTAAAAACCATGCATACTTCCTACAAATATACATGTCAACTTTACTCATAAAACACTCCCTTTTCAATGTAAAATCCAATCATGCCTGTATCAATACAGGTAATTTATTCATGAAACACTCATAACTTAAAAATCGTACACAATACCTGTAGAAATACTTATTAATGAAATACTCCATAACTTAAGAAACATACACAACAATGGTAGAAATACATGCCTCCTATATAAATAGAGGACAACTTTATTAAAAAAAAACACCCTTACACAACTTAAAAACCACACACTTCGTGTAGACATACACGAAAGCTTTATTCATGAACACCATATTCCAGAAGAAAAGAAAAGCCCCAAATTTGTCAATAATTGTTGCAATGTTGTTATCCACTTATCATCTAATTGCATTCTTCGAGCCCCATTGAGCCTTAAAAAAAAAAAAAAAAACAAACAAACAGTTACATTAGATAGTTGCTGAAACTTAAAATAACATTTTCCAACTTTAAGAATAATAAGAGGAAAATATGTTGAGTCTATTCATGAAGGCAACAATTAGCATCCAAACTATGATAAATAAAAAATTCAAGTTTACATCATATTTTATAGGGATCTATTTATCTCATGTTGCATGAGATAATTATCTCATATAACAAAGACAAGATAGTTTGATCCATTATATTTTCAAAAAAAAAAAAATTAGTGGACTTCACGATTTTGTCTATGTTATCTCATGCAACATGAGATAATTATTTCCCTTTATAAAGTTACGAGAAAATAAGAGACTATCAAATTTTGGTGTTTTTATGTTTTCTTAACTAGCCTGAGTTTCTAGTTTTGAAAATTATGAATTTCTATGCATACTAATCAAATTTAATCGATTATCATTTCTAAACTTTCTTTTTATTTCTCAAAATTGACTTGTCATGTTATCTTTTACTATGTTCGGATAAATATTTTCATGAGATGGAAAAAACAAATCCAGGAATAACAAACTCACCATAACATTCCATGTTTTCTGCTCTGTTGCTGCTTGAAAAACAAGACAACTAGTTTACAAGGCTACCATGAGGGAAGGCAATGACAATAAGCTTCTCTCACCAGACAACAATTTCCTAAGGCAAATTATTACAAAAAGTGAGGTAATCAGATAAGACCGAAATTATTTAGGTAGAGTACACATTAATTTAACGTTCCGAATTCTGCATGTATAAAAACAAAAGGACCATTATTAGATGATGAAATTATTCTCAAAGTTATAGCTGTTGAAGGAAATTAGGAAGTGATATGTTTTGAAAAATGATGCAAATTATTTTGCTGGTATGTTTAGCTTCCCATTAGTGCTCCCCACAACACAGAAATGGTGCAAATTAAGCCGGTAGAGATCAAAGGTAATTAATCAGCATATATATTGCATGTCCATGAGAACTAAATTAGCTACGTACCTGTCATTATACTAACTCAAGCTACCTCCTTCCTCAACTGTTGCTTGATCACATCATTTATATCACCTTCCCAACGGACATAGTCTCTTATCACCTCCAATTCTTTTGGTACTATGTCAGCATAACGAAAAATTTTCAGGTTGTGGCAATTGAAAAACACCAATTTTTTCAAACATGGAAAATTCAAAGTGGAACTCCCCGAGTAAAAGCTTTCAAGTTTCCACAACCAGGATAAACGCAAAATCTCAAGCCATTGGAGTATGGTCTGGTCTTCTTCTGATTCATCTCCCTCTTTAGCCACTATTTCTTTTATTGACTCACATTCACTTACGCATATCTCCTTCAAATTAGGCAATCTTTTGGCAGTTGAGTATGTGAACAAGTATTTCATGCTGTGGCATCTGCTGAACTTCATTTCTTTCAAACATGGAAAATTTAAAGTGGAACTCCCCGTGTCTAAGCTTCCAAGTCTTGGCAATGACACTAGAGTGAAAATCTCAAGCTTCTCAAATATTATCTCATATTCATCTGCTTTGTCTCCCACTTTTGCCACTATTTCTTCCAAGGACTCACAGCTGCGTACAGATATCTCCTCCAGATTAGGAAATCTTTTGATGCTTTTGGTAGCTGAGGAAGTGAACAAGTGTTTCATGCCGTGGCAATCGATGAATGAAACTTTTTTCAAGCATGGGAAATTCAAAGTGGATCTCTCCAAGTCAAAGCTTCGAAGTTTTGGCAATGACTCTAGAGTCAAATTCTCAAGCTTCTCAAATATTATCTCATATTCATCTGATTCATCTCCCTCTTTTGCCACTATTTCTTCCAAGGACTCACAGTCAAATACTCGTATCTCCTTCAGATTAGGAAATCTTTTGATGGTTTTGGCAGTTGAGGAAGTGAACAAATATTTCATGCCATGGCAATTGATGAATGACACTTCTTCCAAGCATGGGAAATTCAAAGTGCATCTCCCCAATTCAAAGCTTCCAATTCTTGGCAATGATTCAAAAATCAAGATCTCAAGCTTCTTAAATATTATCTCATCTCCCTCTTTAGCCACTATTTCTTTCATTGAATTACAGTCACCTACCTCCATCCTTTTTAGATTAGGCAATATTTTGGCAGTGGTAGATTCAGACATGTACTTCAATATTGCCTTAACAGAATTACAACCGCTCACTTTTAACTTTTCCAAGTTAACTAGGGAAGGAAGTAAATGAGAAGGTAGTATGACATCTGTTAAAAATTCACACCCAACCACGAATAAAGAAGTTAAGTTGAAATACCAGTTTTGTGGCTGTCTCTCTCTGAAGCCATACCTTTTCCAATGTTGGATACTTCTCGGGACGTAAAACTAACTGAGTATACTACATAATAAAGACATGAAACTACTCAGTACTTAATACTTATGTAAGGATTCAAACTATTGTTGTTTTTAAATATGTAGAGTTTGAAATGAGCAATCGACAAAGTAGCCATGCAGTGAGTTTGCCTCCAAATTAGTGCCAAAAGCAATCGACGGAGGTGTAAAATGTAAAATTCCTCTAAACCATAGTTGTACAAATATGTGAATGGCATTATGACCCAAATTCTTAAAAAAAACACAAATAACGTAAATGGTTAACAATTCTTTCAAGATAACTTGGAAAATGCATTCATAACAATAATTGATAGAAAAGTTATTAGCATAATAACGAAATATTAGAGTCATAATAGTAAGGAAAAGTAGAGTATAAATATTGTTATCCAATGCCATAATTTATCAAAAGAGATTTTTGGACAAGACTCGTTTGAAGACATTAAATTATGTATTAAAAAAAGAAAAAAAAAAGACATTAAATTAATTGATTCAGATAAAGTCCTTACCGGTTGGACAGAAAACACCTGATTTATTGAGGTGTTAAGATCATCTTGGAATACCAAATCAGAATTTGAGTGGGAGGAAAAGAGAATTCCTCTAAAAGATTTTGCATGTATCAATCCTTGGGAAAATTTTTCCATCTTGGGGCAATCCTTTATGTCCACTTGTATCAGAGACGGTAACTGCAAAGTGACATTGCCTGAATAAAAACATTCGAGTCTTGATAAATCTTTGAGAACTATCTTGTCCAGCTGCTCAAATTTGATATCTTCTGAAGTTATTTCATCTTCCTCTTTTGCCACTATTTCTTTGATCCATTTACAGCGACTGACTCTGATCTCCTCAAGGTGCCTTAACTTTTTTGCTGCTGAGGATGTCAATAAATACTTCAATCCATCACATTCCTCCACAATCAATTCTTTTAGATCAGAGAAAGATACTGTGGAGCTTCTCACAGAGCGTAGTAATGTTGTCAAACCACGACACCTGTAAAGACATAATTTGTGGAGCTTCTCACAAAGTGTGTTTAACCATGGTAAGTCTTCTGACCCGATGGACATGAGCCCCCACACTCCATGCAAAAACAACGTTTTCAAGTGTTCAGGCATCTTGTGTTGACCAATTTCCGACACACAGCAAGTGGCTATAAACATTGTTTCTAAATTGGGTGTCATCTCAAGTATTTCGAACGGCACCCGATCCCCATAGTAACTAGAAAGCAGGAAGAGTTGCTTTAAACGTTTGAGTTCTTTCTTAGATTGTTCTAAGTTCAACCTTAACATGGAAATCTGTTTCCCTTCCAGCCTCAATTCCTCGAGATTGGGAATAACCTATTGAAGTCAAAACAAAAGCGGTGTGAATTACAAAACGAAAATAAAAGCTTGAGTGCAAATCCTGTATTACTTACCTTTGGATCCGAGAATAGGGAATGTCTCTTAATTGATGAAGTACTACTAACTTCATTGTTGGGATGTGCTTCTTTCCCGCTATGAAATACCTCCAAATTATTACAATAGTACACAATAAAACTATTTAACTCGGGGCATTCCAGAGTGAATGCTTTAGGGTAAAAGTTAGTGAGCTTGGACAAATCATAAAGAACCAGTGAGGTTAAACGAGGGAACACAAATTCTTTTGTCACTTGAGCTGCTGTTGCGTCTTCTTCCTTTTCAACAATTTCTTGCAAATTATAACAAGATTTTATTTCAAGCTTCTCGAGCTTCTTAAGATTTTCGGCCAGGGCCTCAGGAAACAGAGTTTTCAGATTGTGACAAGAGTTTACAAAAACTTCTTGCAGATTTTGAAAGCTGAACATTCCTTCATGATAGTTTTCCCACACATGCGTCAGCCCCCTAAGATTTTGCAAACTCAATTTCTTCAACTTTCCCATAACCTCAGTGCTGTTCATATGAAAAATTACATTTACCCAGCTGCACTCAGATACTTCCAATTCTTGTAAGTTATTTAAATAAGGAAGAACATGAGATGGAATTGCACATGGTTGAATTTTACATTTGAACAGCTTCAAAGTTTTCAAACTGTAAAACCAACTGTTTTGCAGAGCATTTTTATCACCCCAGGCTTCTTGTAGATCAGGATGTTCTGAAAGACTAATCTCGCCCATGCCTTCAAAAAAACTCTGTAAATATTGCAAATTAGTATTTCATCAGATTTATCGTATTTCTTCTACCCCAAATGACAGCCTATAAAGTATAAACACCATTCCAATGGTTTTCCAATTTGCATCTCTAAATTGAAAATAAATACTCGAGCGAGTAATAAAATGGATTGAAGTTAAATCTCAGTGTTAACGGACTTTGCACGAAAACAAATTCGTGAGTGTTATATGAAAGATTCTGACTACAAGAATAGATATATTTACAGGGAAAAGTGTTTGTAATTTTAAATGACATTATTTTAAGAAAGATAAATACAAAATAAATTTTTTTACAAGACTAGATATATTTATAAGGAAAATTGTTTCTCATTTTAAATGATATTATTTTAAGAGAGATAGATATAAAATAAATTTTTTTATTTAAAATTTAAATTAAAAAAACCATCCACTTTCTCTCCCGCATGATTTTTATTTTTTGTGTCTATCTCTCTCTTAAAATGACATAACTTATGTCATTTAAAATACAAACACCCAACCCATATTTATATTTATTTACATGAAACTCTTTTTTCCATTAGTGCCAACAGGATTCGTTGTCAATTTAGTGCCAACAGGATTCGTTGTCATTTATTTACATTAATGAAACTCTTTTTTCCGTTAGTGCCGACAGGATTCGTTGTCAATTCTTGAAAAAAAAACTTTGTACTAAATAACGTTACTTTATTATTTATTTATAAAAGGATCACCTCTCTCCAGTACAAATCATCCCCTGATTAAAATTTAATCAAAATCTTTTCTGCGAAGCATTTTTTTTTTCTCACCGCCACGTGTCATTGTAGTCACTATTTTGTCTTGCTACTGTTTCTGTCTTTCAGTATTTTTTTTTTTTTTTTTCATTTTGACACTTGCACTGTTCCCTTATGTATTTTCACACTCCTTCGTTACATTCCATTTTATTTTTGAACATTAATAAAATGGGTTTTATCATTTTATTTCACTCCTCTCCTTTTAATGACTACAATCCAAACAAAGTCTTAATAAATAAAAATAATTTATTCATTTTAAATTAATTTGAAAAAGTGAAAAGAAAAAGAACAAAACGAAAAATGAAAATTGAGTTAATAAATTCATTTATACGTACCTTTTCCTTGAATATTTTCTGTATCGTAGCATTTAAGTTACCACGCCAGTAAGATCTCTTCTTCTCTCCTTCATGCACAACATATACTTTTCGTAAAATTGGTGGGTCCTTGACTTCTTGAGAGAATTTTTCCATTTTAGGGCATGCACTCACTACTAATTTCTCCATTGCTGGGAACTCGAAGATGTAACTTTTAGAGTTGCAGAAACTTTCGAAGCTCCCCAATGATATTAGTTCTAGAGCTTTCAATTGTCTGAAAACAATGACAACTTTGTCTGCATTTTCTGTTTCATTTCCTACAACTTCCTTCAGAGATTCACATTTGACTACCTTCAGGGTTTTGAGTTGTCCAAGGCTTTTTGCAGTCGTTGATGGCATCAAATATTTTAATAGTTTACAGTTAACCACTTCCAGACTTGTCAAATGAGTGAGAGATACCGAGGGAGGCACAATAGTGGCCAAACGAGGACATTTGTTTAAACTCAAGAACTCTATCCTTTGTAGAACTATGTGCCGTTCAAAACCTATATTCTCAAGCTCAGGTAAATCTATTAACTTCAAGCTTTTCAGCTCTGGAACGACCCCCAAGTTTTTAATTTCAGGAGGATTTACATGAGGCACTACTTCTTTAAAGGAGGAATCACTCAATGTTAGGCTTTCCAGATTAGGATTCCTATGAAGGAAAAAATATAGAATTTTGGTATTCCATAATCTAGATAAGTGAAGCTCTTCTAAGTTGTCTCTTCGGTAGTTTTCCTCCCCCATGTAGCTGCTTGACGAATTTGCATGCCACAACTCAATTCTCATGAACTTCAACTTATTGATTACCTATATAGTTAAGAGATAAATGAAAAAATAATAATAATTAGAAAAGTCAATTTATGAAAATGCATCTTCCATGCCATTGAAAATTCTGTTTTTTCTTCTTCTATTTTGATTTTTGTCCTATTTTTCAATGAATTAGAAACTATTCTTAAGAGATGAAAGGCATACTAGTACCTCTTCAGGAAAGAGGATTGACTTGCTTTGTGCATCTGCAGTTTTTTTTGGGAATGGTTCCAGCTTGTCACAATGTTCAATAGACAAGTCATTCAATACTGGGAATCTTAATTCACAATTTCCCGGATAGAAACTCTTGAGTTTGGGAAGGTTCAAAAATTTGATGGTGGTTAATTTCAGAAACTCAAATGATGGATTAGGATTGCTTGTGTTGTTGTTGGTAACTTCTCCCTGAGCAACCATTTCCCTCAATTGAGAGCAATCCCACACCAAAAGGTATTCAAGATTGTAAAGGCAATTGGCTATAGAAATTGGAAATATATTTTCTAAGCTGACACAATCTTGAACCCATATGTTTCGCAGATTGTTCAATTTGAGAAGCCCTTTCTGGCCATTGCTCCATTTCCACACATGCTTCAATTTTGGGAGTGCTTCTAAATGAATGTCTTGCAAGTTGGTTATGTCCCCAGCGTCTTGTTTTCCATTATCTAGGTCAAATATTGCTTCCATTGATTTGCAATTAGTAATCCTCAAGTTGCATAGACTCCGAAATACTCCCTCCATGTAACAAGGAAAAACTTTGTCTAATTTATCACACTCCTCAATGATTAGAGTATCCAGTTTGCCAAAGGAATATAAAGGGAGTTTCGCCCATATCTTTCTCAAACTCTTCATGCTACTCAATTTGATATTCTTCAAATTTGGAAAGATATTGCCCTGCTTTGGTTCACATTATATCCATATGTTAATTGAAGTAACAATGATGTCTAACATAAAGCAAGTTAAGAAAAACAAAATAAACAGAAAGGAAGGCTTTAGATTGTGGGGTGCTTTAAGATTTTGTATATCCTATATAAGTTTATAAACAATTTTTCAATATAACGGGAAAGGAAGGATTTTCCAATCTCTGACATGCAAGATAATGGCAATAACAACTAACTGAAGGCATACAAAGAGATCAAAAAGTAGAATCTAATCCCACCAACCAACGTACCTCCATTTTATCATCGGAATCTTGCTCTTCAAGAAAGATATGTTCCATCTTCTCACATTCACTAATGAAAAGGCTTTGAAGATTCCCCAGATTTTTGGCCATTGAAAGTGATAATAAACATTCTAAATTCGAACAGTCATTCACATCCAAGTGTATCAAATTTTGAAAATTTGAACTTAGTGGAGGTTGGACACTCCATATTAAGTCAATTTGAATGGATGACAACTCCATTCTCTCTAATTTGAAAACCTCAACCTGCAAGGCAATATACAAAATTAGTGTATACACAAAATCTAGAAAGTATTTTGTCTTTCTCAAGTTAATTATTTTTGGGGAAAGCTGTTTTTTTTTTTTTTTGAAGTTTACCAAGTTACAAACTTCTTCCTTTTTAGTTTTAACAAATAAAATGTGAAATGGAGTTTGGAATGTAAAGCATAAATAAATCTATATGACAAGTTGAAACACACCTTTTCATGGAGTAGTATTTTTTTGGTATCTCCTCCGGTTGATGAAGTGGTATAGAATCCAATAAATTTAGATAAAGATTGCAATGTCAAAGAGCGCAATTCTGGAAACTTGGGATACTCAACTTCATTAGGGTTGCTTGGCGTTTCAGCTTGGACAATCTCTTTCAAAGATTTGCATTCAGAAACTTCAATTGTTTCAAGAAGAGTTAGAAGTTTAACCACCGAAAGTAAGAAAACATTCTCCAATTTGTCACACATATTGATCTTCATGACTTTCAGTTTACCAAATGAGGGTGCTGAAAGATTACAGGAGCATAGTTCACCCATTTTATCGAGATTATAGAGATACAATGACTCCAATTTAGGAAAAGCCTTCACAGGATGTTGACTGTCTTTTGGGTTGATTAGAGATTGAATTTCAGAATTTCTTACAATGGATAAATGTTTTAAGTATGGAAATCCTTTCAAATTCAACCTATAAAAGATATCTTCTACACCTTTGAGATCTTCCAGCAACAAAATTTCAACTCTTTTGAACAACATTTTGATGCCCATTTGAGAATGGATGTCAAGGCAATTTTTTAACTGAACTGCCAAAAATCTCGATATTTCATACTTCTCTGGCATCTTGAAATCTGTCTCTAAGTATGCCTTCAAATCTCCAATAACAATCTTGTAACTATATAACTTGTCAAAGAACAAGTTGTTTGGCAAATGGTCAATATTTGGGATTTGTATATCTAGAGTTGTCAACTGATTCAGATGGCTCAGCTCAGAAAGACTAGCTTTTTTACTTTGATCTGACCCTCCTTCCATATTCCATTGAACCAAGGTGTTTCTCATATACAACTCTTCCAAACTAATAAAACTGCTTATTACATTGGAAGGAATTTCTTGAAGTTTTAAGCAATCACTTATGTCAAAAATTTGTAGCTTTGTTAACTCATTCAAATGAGGAGGCAATTTTTCAATGTCTGATCCGGAAAGACTAAGAATTCTTAACTTTTTCAATTGGCCTATTATGGATAATCCCTCACGTAGCACACAATGCTCCAAACAAAGCATTCTGAGTTTGGTTAGGCATTTGATTGACGAAGGAAAGGGTGATAGGTTAAAGCCAGTCAATATCAACACTTTAAGTTCTTTCATTCCTTTGAAAAAGTTATCTGATATTTTCAGACTTGGATCATTATTGTTAACATGGAAGACTCTAAGTCTGGGGCATTTTATTAAAAGAGGAAACCCTTCAATGATATGACAATGCTGTAAGGAAATTACATTGTACCTTTTAAGTTTATCCTCATCTGGCCATTCATCAACTTCTCCATTTGTCATTTTAAACACATGTTTGTTCTCGTTGGATGCTATTGACAAAGCCGCACTGCGAACAATAGCTTGCATGGTAAAATGATCATTTGAATAACCGTTAGACAACAAACCAGCCTCTTTTAGCTTTTCAACCATTGCATATACTCTATCTTTAGCTTCCTTTACTTTGGAAATTCCTTGAAGAAAACCCAAACCAATGCAGTATTTCACCAAGTCCATAACTAATGCATCATGACCCATGTGAGCACAAAGTAAGAAAGTATACTTGAGCTCTTCATTTTCTAAAAGAGTATAGCTCAACTTTGTAGCAAACTCAGGCACTCCAGTTAACTTTTGACATTCAAGCTTTCGGTTAGCATCCTCCCATGCCGAGCGACTCTGATTTTTTAATGCCCTTGCAGTTGTAACTATATGCATTGGCAACCCGTCACACTTTTTGGCAATTTGAGCAGCTAACTTTTCAAATTCAGATTGTGTATCTCCTACTCCAGATTTATTCTTGAACAGCATCTCTGCTTCCTTATCCTTTAAGACTTCCAAAGAGAAAATAAAGTCTTCCTTCCCTTCCATATGACTTAATAACACTTGTTTTGTTTCAGAAATCAGCAAAACTTTGCACCCTTTATAATGACTAAGTGTTTCTTTTGCTTCCGTCCCATTGTGAGCACCGGTGGTTTCTTTGGTTTCAATCATACTTAAAGCATCTTCTGTTTCCTTCTTTCTGGAAGCATCTTCAGTTTTCTTCTCCTCAGGGGATTTTTTTTCTTCGACATCTGTCTGGACATCATCATCACCAGATGGAATCCCGAGCATATTGAAGTCCAATTTTGCCCAAAGATCATCTAAGATTATAAGCACGCTGTCCTTCTCGTCCTTTAATCTCATTTGAATTCGAGTAGCTCTTGCAATATCACTTTCCTCATCCAATGTGATCCCCAACATATCAGCAATTTGCCCTTGAATTTTTCTTATGTCAGGATTTCTGGTTACATTTGCCATGGTCACTACATTGAACTTCTTCTCATCCAAGGCTCCCTTAGCAACTTCTTTGACTAAAGTGGTTTTGCCCACACCACTAAACCCATGAAGTCCTATCATTTTAACATTTGAATCTTCCAATGCTGCCTTAATCTTCTTCACAGTTTCATCTCTCGATTGAAAGCTCTCATAACCAACGTTAGAAAAAAAGGCAGCCAAGGAGGGTGGGCGAAGCCAATAAGAAAGTGTATCTTCCTTTGCTGTTTGTTGAAGTGCATTAACCTTCTTTGTAATATTATATGCTGTTCTGCTTCGACGATACCTTATCCCCGGGTGAGGAAGGTAACCACCACTTGCAAGCAAGTCAAACACTGCAAGTTTATGATGTTCTTCCTCCCCAAGAAAATGATCGTATTCAGAAATTATTTTATCCACTACGTCAATCCATTTTTTAACTTCATCGGGAATCCCTCTCCCATATCGGTTTTCTTCCTCATCAACTTTGTATTGAAGTACTTCTTTACCTTTCTTCAGATTCTGAACAACAACTTCTAGTTTTTTAAGTCTTGTCTCATACTCAAGTAGGGGAATCAACAACTGTTGCTTTAGCCATGCCTTCAGTTGAGGTGACGTCAGCAATTTGCAACACCAAGCAGTTAGACTATCCATCTTTCATAGTTGACTTTAACGAGCTCTATATATAGATGAACTACGTCTTCTGCATGCACATAAACAAAAAATAATAATATTAGTTATGATAAATAAGACTATAAGCTTAAATTAATAGATGAGATAGGTTAAGTTTTTATTCCACAGTGTTTTCTTTGGGATGCAAATCAATAATAATCACTTCTTTATTTCTTATTTTGAGATAAGTTTATAAATCTAATCACCACCAAAATTATTAATACAATTTACTGACATTACATTTGAGCACACGTAGCCTTGTATCCATTAAAAATATTAAAAGAACTGCCCAACTTTACATTCAATTTGAGGACAATCCATTACTTGATGAGTGTCGACTGTGTTTGGAATCGACAAAAGTTGACATAAATTATAAATAAATCTCTAAAAGTTTTATTGCCATTTAATTTTCTTGAAATTATATTTTGGTAAACAAAAGTAATTAGGCTTTTTCATTATTAATAGTTGTTGGGAATTACATCAAAGTAATCTGTAATATTTTTAAATTATGTTTATATATATTTACATATAAATTATGATGTTTATAAAATAATGTAAATTGTGATAGAATGAAAGTGTAGAGTAAAAAGAAACAAGACTACATGAACATATATATTTTTAAGATTTAAATGACATGTTAAAATTTTGTAATACACAAAAAGGCTCGTTTGGTGGACAAGATAGGATAGTGATAGATAGGATAAAAGGACTAGATAAGAATAGAAAATAATATGCACATAAAAAGCTCATATCATATCATGTGTTTGATGCACACTAGATAAGCAGTATGATATGATTATCTTATCCCGTCATATGTTTGATGTGAACCAAATAGTATTAGGATATGATTAAATAGACAAAAATACCCTTTTATAATATAATTTTATATATTTGTAAATTATTTTTCCTTTTAACTTATTTATAGACTAGTTCCTATTTTAAATAATTAAAAAATTACAATTAAAATTTTAATAAAATATATTAAAATGAATAAAAGGAACCTTTGCAACACCACTCAAATTGAAATTGAACCCCTGCAACACCCCTATGTTGAAGCAAACCCTTGTTCAACGAAAGTTGTCGTGTTAATTTTACAAATCAACGGAATCCAAGACAAGCACTTATTCTAGCAAAATCTGGTCTCAAACAAGCATCTTGGCAATGGCGATTGTTGACGGCGATGGAGCACTGGACAGTTGATGAGGAAGGCAACGGTGGAGAGGGAGTGAATATTGCAGGTGTTTTCAAGAAGTAAGTTGGGGAGTTCTAGGAGGATGATTGAGGTGTCGACGATTTTAGAGGGGAGACAACGAAAGAGGATGAGGGATGAGGCAGAGAGGGTGATGGCAAGGAGGGAGGGTTTGAGGCACACAGTGAAAGAGGGATATCATTGGTAAAATAAGTGTTAGAATTTTGCTATCCTATCCTATCAAATTATAACCCATCTCCCCCTTTAGGATTAGTTATCAGGCTCCTAACAGGATAAAATGAGCTAATAGGATAAGTTTATCCTATCCTGTTATCTCACCAAACAACTAATAAAGGTAGGGTATGTTAGTATATCCTATTATATCTTCATTATCAGGTGCACCAAACGGGCCCAAATGGTAATTAAACCTAAATTTTAGTAGAAAATAATAATTATATTCTAAATTATAATCATAATGAAGTATAAATAATAGTCATTGCATATATTAAGATTCAGAAGTTAATGATCTAGCAAAATAAAATACTACAAAATTAATGTTTTTTAGCTTATATAGGTAGGTTATTTTACCTAGCTTTGTACATGGAAAGGGCTAAACCCTAAATAGAAAATGCAACGACAAGAAAAAAATAAGACAACAAATGAATCATGCATGACAAAAATCCTAGACCATGAGAGAGCAAAAACATCATCCTAAAGAAGCAGCAAGAGTGCACAAGTGGGTCTTGGAAGTGACATATATCCTATAACTCTGATCTATCCAATGGATAATTGGCCAACCAAATTGCACAATAGTTTTTTCCCCAAAAGGCGTGCACCAGCCGAACCTGCTAATCTCGAGATAACCACACCCATATAAAAGACAATATATGCGACTCATGGGCATTATCACCAATCTTGGTGAGCAAGGACATGAATGACACAACATAGATTGGTGAGTAAGGACATAACTGAGACAACATCACATTTATCGTCACCTTCTTCCATTCCACTGTCACCCTTCTCTAACCTGCATTCCAAGCAAAGTCCAACTGTCTCAACACCCCCAAGGGCTCTATCAACAGCGACGAACAACATCCAACACTTTGAGATAAACTTCCAAGACAACACCCTTCAATATCTCAGGCCAAACCCCCATACAAAATTAAACCCAAATTTCCCCTGATTGCTTCATTCATATTGATCTCCACTGGCTAATCCTCCAATGGTACCAACAAATATCTTTGCAAATCAACACCCATTTGTTGCAACTTGCTCGCAGCACCCATAGTAACAAAAATCTCCTAAACTCTATTACCAACAACTTACAGATAATGGAAATATGCAGTTTGCAAATTATGATGTACTATCTCATTTCGCAAGCCACAAATCTACCAACAGGCTATCATAAACATTAACTGCCACAAGATTGCATTGCTACCTGAGTGGAGGGATGTAATGTTAGCGTAATTCACTCATCCAAGGAAGAGTTGTATAAGTTTTTCCCCCACAATGATAGCCAAAGCTCCCTCGACACCTGTTAGATAAAACAACAATCCTGTAAAGCTGTTGAATAAATAAACTTGATGTAGTTTTTGGTTCATCGGGCTTAGTATACATTTATCCCAACATCTAGAATTATACTTTAGGAGTTAGTTTAGCCCAAGATCTAGAAATTTCTATTCTAGTCAATTCCATGAAAGTTCTAGTGGGTAGTTGCACCTACCATTATTAATAAGGGTAGTTGCACCTACCACAATTAATATTTGTACTAGGCTAGTATGGAAAACTCTAGAATTATTTGGAGCCATTGTTTTGTGGAGGTGCCACTAGTATAAATAGGGGTCATCTCCATCATTTTGTATCAAGCCAAAAAGCCAAAAAAGAAAAGAAAAAAAGGTTGTGTAGCAATAAAAATGTTCTCTTCCTCCATATCTTTCTATAACCTTTACTTTTCTCAAAAATCCTCCTCCCAACAAAGTGGTATCAAGAGCCTTAAGATCCTTTCTAGAGAAATGGCAAGTAGCAACATGGTCCCTTTCCAAGTCCCTATGCTCACCAAAAGAAACTATGATAATTGAAGCATCAAGATGAAGGCCCTCATTGGATCACAAGATGTGTGGGAAGTGGTAGAGAAAGGCTACAATGAGCCACAAGAAGTAGTTCCTCTATCATAAGCTCAAAGGGATAGCTTGAAGGATTCAAGAAAGAGAGACAAGAAAGCTCTCTATCTCATCTATCAAGGATTGGATGAAGATGCTTTTTTAGAAGATTTCTGAGGCAGCCACCGCAAAGGAAGCATGAGAGAAGCTACAAATCTCTTGCAAGGGTGCTGTATAATAGCCCTAACCCAATTAATTATCAAATTACATGTAATTAAATAATTAAGCATGTATTAGTGAGTAAAATTAAGTATAAGGCTTAATTAAGTGAATCTGAGTCACTTTGGAGTTTAAAAGTGTACTCAGTGAAAATTAAGGGGTATAAATGGGTACTGACGAAAGTGCCCAAAATATAAAAATAAAATTGTAAATATTCCTAGAATAATATTCCAGACTTTTGGGTAAAGTTTGATAATTAATGGAGTTGAATAGATAGACGAACTGATACCTACTCGATCTCACTTAACTAATGTTAAGTGACCACAAAAGAAGAAAAAAGAACCAAAACCCTCCCATTCCCGTCGACGCTAGAAAGAAGAAGAAGGATAATGAGAAGAAGGATAATGAGAAGAAAGGGAGAGAGAAGAAGAGAGAGAGGAGGGAGAAAATCCCAACCGTTTTGGGTGATTCAAAAGCCTAAACCACTCTAAATCTTCCCCTCTTTCATAATCTAAGCTTAGTTTTGAGTGGGGAGCGTTGTGGTGAGAGATATTACCTCTCAAAAATTCGGCCCTTTGGTAGATTTTGGGGTTTTGGGAGTTTCTACCTCCATGGAAGCTTGAGGAGCCATCAATCCTTGGTTGTGTGACCATTGGTGGTAAGATTCTAACCCTTGAACCATGTTTTCTTGGAAATTTCATGATATAGGGTTTTGAATGAATAGTGTTATGGGTTTTGTGAGAATTTAAGTAAATTGGCTATGTTGTAGTAGAATTGAGACTTAGCACATGTTGAGAAAAATGCTAGGAATGTCATTTAATCGGTAAAAATGAGCCTAGTTAGTTAAATGACTATACTCGGTATATTGCAAGATTATCATGCTTGTTGAAGAGTTTTCTTGCAATTATGATAAATGGTTTGGTTTGGTTGATTGTTGATTATGCCTTGGTGTTTCTTAGGATTGAGGCAATTGGACCAACCTTGAGAGACCAACCGTTGGAGCAAGCTATGGAGCTTGATTAGCTCATTGGAATAGGTAAATTCATGCTTAGGTTTGGTATGAATTGGATAGCTTGGTTGATAGCTATGAGATGTTATTGGATGCAATATGTGTTAATTGCATTAAACCTTGTGTAGGTTTTGTTTGAGAAGTGGAGTATTGTAATTGACTGACTGTGGAACCTGTTGGTGGTGAACAAAGGTTGACTGAAGCATTCAGGTAAGCCTTCGGACCTTGGGTGTAATTCCCTTGACTGTTCCACCAAGCCCTGAAAGGGTAGAGGTTGTGATTGTGTATATAAATGCAATAAAATAGTGTAATGCTTTGTTATACGTATGTGTATGCATTTGGTGTGGCATAGGATGGTGTTTCCCTATGTTGGTATGTTGCATGACGATGCATAAATCATACTTGGTAGTTAGCTGGCCAGTAGGACTATTTACATCTGAGTTTCCTTAGGACAGCTTGAGAGCTC